TTCCCCTGGCACAGCATGGACACCACAGCCCCCCACCTTGTCCAGAGGTGGGGCAGCAGCAAATCCCGGATTTAGGGAGACCCCCATCCCGTGTTTCCTCAGCAGCTGCTGTTGCCCTTCACTCTCAGCAGCAGGGCAGCTTGTGCCTGTGTTCTTGCTGGTGAGTGGGGGAGCAGGACTCATGGTTTGGGCCCCAAGTGACTTTTACAGGTGAGAAATGACCTGTCCCCAAAATCACAGCGTTTCCCAGCGGAGAGGCCAGCAGGGTCACGGTGCACCGGTCCGGAGGAGAGGCAGATGGACAGGCCGGGGGGAAAGGAGGAGGATGAGGATGATGAAGGCTCTGTGAGCAGCAGGGAGCGGGTCCTGCGGGCATTCCCAGCCCTTCCCCTCCCTCAGCAGCCCCCGGCAGTTCCGAGCTGCCTAATTAGCTCTCCCTGCTCCCAGCGCCGTCCAGCTGGAGCCGGAGGGCAGGGGCAGACAAAAGCCTCGCTATTGACAGCCCCTCCGAGGAAGGGGCTTTTCTTCTCCCCCTCGCCTTTCTTTTCAAGCCCCTCTCCCCCCGCCTTGGGCCGGGGCCACGGGCTCATTAGCGGGGGCTCGTGGATGGATGGAGGCAGCAGATGGCAGCCGGGCGGCCCCGCGGAGCAGATGCCCGGCCAGCGAGGGGGGGATTACCGGAGCGGGGGCCAGGGCACTGCAGGGCTGCCAGCGGGGCATCCTCCCCGGCAGCACACCCCCGGCCCTGCCCAGGGGCTGCCACGGGGCATCCTCCCCGGCAGCACACCCCCATCCCTGCCCAGGGGCTGACAGCGGGGCATCCTCCCCGGCAGCACACCCCCATCCCTGCCCAGGGGCTGCCAGCGGGGCATCCTCCCCGGCAGCACACCCCCGGCCCTGCCCAGGGGCTGCCAGCGGGGCATCCTCCCCGGCAGCACACCCCCGGCCCTGCCCAGGGGCTGCCAGCGGGGCATCCTCCCCGGCAGCACACCCCCATCCCTGCCCAGGGGCTGCCAACCCGCTGGGGAATCGCGGCCGCCAAAGGAAGCCAGAGGTTGGGATGGCCAAAAGTCACCGGAGAGCTGCGGCTGCTTTTGTGCGCTCGCTGGGGTAGCGAGACCTCCGACACTGCTCCTGCCTGGTCCCAGGCCAGCGGGGAGGACACGCCAGCCTTGTCCCAGACTTCTTTCCAAGATCACCCGCAATGGCAAACTATGGCTTAATCCCACTCCAGCAGCACATCCCTCCCCCTCCGTGCACGGTGCATCCCGGGGGATTAAGGGTTAAAGCACAAATCCCCGGCGCTGCCCTGATGTGACCCATTTAGACCATCTGGAGCCTCCTCTCCCCAGCGCTGCCGGCCTCACTCGGCATCACAGGCTGCCCCAGGAGCTGACACCAGCACCCGCAGGTCCCAGAGTGCCCCAAAGGGCATTTTGGATGAGTTTCTGGGGACAGGGCAGAGACAGGGCAGCTCACACCGACAGTACTGTGGCTGGAAGTGTGGCAGCAGAGAACTGAAGCACCCCCAGAACCATCCCGCAAGCCCCCAGGCTCCCACCAGCTCCAGTTCCTGGGATACCCTGGAGCATTTCCCGCCTGGATGTCCCCAGGTCCCGGCACTGGTGCTGATGGAATTCCGAGCAGTGCTTGCTCCAAGTGGGACAGGGCTCCCAGCCCCGCGCTGTGCCACGGTCACGGCCAGGGAAGCGATGCAGACAAAAGCTCAGCCCAGAGGGAGGAAAGCAGATCCTGCTCTGGGGCTGTGGCCAGAGCATGCTGTTCATACCCATCCCCAGAGACCAGTGGCACCTTTACACAGCAGATTTTAAAAGCATTTTCAGCTTTTTCAGCCAAAGCCCCATCCCCAAGCCCCAGTGAGAGAGACTGAGGGCACCCCGGTTTGGCAGAGGGGCTCAGGGCAGGTTAGGTGCCTGTCCCTGACCCCATCCCTCCCAGCACACTGGGCACAAAACCCCCTCAAATCCCACACAGGGATTTTGCATATGCTGGAGCAATTCCCCTGCAAAGGCAAGCTCTGGGTCAGCCCCAGCCTCCCCTCACCATGCAGTCCCTCACCCGTACAGCAAAGCCCCAGCAGGCCCTGGGTGGGCAAAGGTTAATTGGAAAAGCCCCTTTCCCCATCACCTCGGTTTTTCCTTTCACTCTGCAAACTGGTCAATAATCCATTTACTCTGGCAGAGCTGTGCTCTGGGCACAAAGCTGTCTGGGGGGCTGGATTTCTCCCCCAGCCCCGGCAGGAGGGAAGGAATTAATGTACTCTTTTGTTCCAGGATGAACCGTGGGTTTAGCAAAGCTTTAACCCTCCCAGCCTCCAAGACAGCTTGATGGGAATTTAGATGGAAGAGTCTTTACCTGCAAAAGCAGCAGAAAAGTAGTGGTGAGGGATGGGGCAAGGGGAAAAAGCATCACTTTCTGTCCAGGTAACCCCATCACTGCCCCACAAGGATGCAGGATTGGGCCCTTAGCCATTCTCAGGGCACCCTGCAGGATGCTTTGGGCTATGGACACTGGGGGTCCCTGGCAGGACCCCCATGCTGCAGCTGAGCCCCTTGACACTCCATGAGGGCACAAATCCAGCTAGGAAAACTGATGGGAGGTGGGCAGCACTGGGCTAGAAACCATGGCAGCATTTCCACTGCTGTGGGAAGCACGGGGCCAGATCCAGGGCAGGGTGTTTGCAGGGGACCAGCTGTCAAGTGTGGGAGAAAACAGGAATCCAGATGGTCATCTTAATATTTCATTTGGCTAACTGGTCTCCCCGTCTCCTCTCTGGCACCACAGTCATTTGCTCTTAAATTAGTCGGGAGTATCGTCAGAGAAGAGAGGCTGATCCAAGCAGTGGCGCAGCGAAAGCTTCCGGAAAAACAAACCCAGAGCGGAGCCAGGCACGGAGACCGCTACAAGAGGAGCTGCTGCAAGCCTTGGGTCTGTTCTCGCCACGGATGGGGGCAGGAGCCTGGCTCTGGCCACCGCTGGACTACGAGCCTAGGGCCAGCTTGGGGACATCACCGTGCAGCCCGGTGGGGACCCGCTGCAAAGCCCCGGGGCTGTGCGATCTGGCATCTCAGAAGTGTGATCCTGCCCAGATGGCAGCTCGGGCTCCTGGCAGAGCCCTGTGGGATGTGAGCCGAGGCGGCAGCGCCGATGAGAAGAGCTGGGAACCACCTCTGTCCCCACAGCCTTTGGTGGCAGCCCCCGGGGCGGCAGAGCCCCTCCGTGCTCTGTGCGGCTGTCACAGCGCAGCGTGTGCCGGCCCAGGGACAAAAGGAGCCAGGCTGCACCGACCCGGCAGCGGCGTGGCCGGAGCACAGCCCGGCGTGGCCACCTGGACCTGCTGGTGCCACCACAACCAGAGGCAAAGCCGAGCTGGCGGGGCTGCTTTGCTCTGTGCCAAGAGCTCCTGGACTGTTTCACTCCCACCAGAGCTGTCACTACCAACAGCACGGAGAGGGGCACACATTTGGGAACTTTTTCATGGATCTGCAACCACCCCGAGCCGCGGTGCTCAGCCCCACCACGATGTCTGTGCAATCCAAACTGCTGGCTAGATAGAGCCAGGCATCCTTCCTGGCTGTATTTCCCCAAAACCCGAATTTGTTGCCTTATTACACCTCCACCTGCAAGAGGTTTAAGCAGCACTGCTCACTCAGGAAGCTCCAGGCAGGAGTGTGTGTGTGAGTCAGCCCTCAGCCCTTCTGTGCTGACCATACCCGATGCAGGGATGGAGAAAAACACGGTGGTTCCTCTCCGCCACAAAGGCTGAATCCCTGCAAACACTGCCTATGGAAACAAGAGTTTCTTCTCAGCTGGAGGCTGAACCCATGCATTTCCCATTTTCCTACCCAGATTAATGGAAATCCGAGAGATTGGAAAAATTCACGCTCAGCAGCTGGGCTGCAGGGGCAGGAGGGACCCCCATCCCCGCTGCTGCTGTGGCTCACAGCCTCCACTGGCACAGGAAGCATCCGAAATGGCTCATTCCAAAGGATCTCTCTCCTCCCTAGTACAGGCTGAGCCCCCAACACCCAGCCTCCTGCAGCCCCTCTCCTCTACAGATACAGCACCTCCATGGAACTTTGGCTGGTTCCCACACCAGCTGGGCAGAACCCGGCAGAGGAAAAACAGAGCAAAGAGAGAGGAGAACCGGCAAAGAAGTCCTTTGTTTATAAAAGCAGCACAGATAGGATATTACTAACAAATACTGAGACAATCAGCAAAATAAAGCTGGTCTAAATTAGAGCGTGCATGGCTGTGAGGAAGCCACATGGACCTTTGCCCGTGTGGCAGCCTGGCAGAGAGGCTCAAGGGGTACCTGCAGCCCCCTTGACTCTTTTCATAGGTTTCTCTGTTCCTCAGCCTCTGGCAAACATGGGGGCATCGACTTTCCGGGAGCAAGAGGACAGGACAGATACTGGGTGAACAAAGTCCCGGCGGCTTGGCTGTGGGATGTGGGGGACACCATCCCCAGAGCTGTCCCTGTCCATGACAGTGACCAGGAACACCAGCCTCCCCTCGGTGACAAGGCAGGGTCCAGCCCTGTTTCCCTGTTTCCCTCCCCAGGCTTCACCTGCCCAAGGGTCCGGGGTGAAGGGCTGACACAGAGACAAGGCCACCAGCAGGACTCTGCACAGCGGACATGGAGCTGGCCACACTTTCCAGCTGATGCCCCCCAGCACTGGCCCCTCTCTGTAGCCCAGCTGGAGCTTTGCAGACCCTCACCCTGCTCCCAGGCTCCAAGCACCACCGAGCCAAAGTTTCCCAAACCTGCTCTACAACACAGCACCTGCCCAGGGAGGGGGCTCAGCCAGTCAGCATCCCCCAGCCTCAGGCATGGGCAGGGTGCCCCAGCTCCTCCAGACAGGAACTGCTGGTGGCGGGGGGACACACTCAGGACTCTCCTTACGGTGGGAAGAGGACCAGAGGTGAGGGGTGCAGGGTCTCCCAGAGCCCCCCTGCCTTGCCCCGGCAGCCCTTACCTGGGCAGCGGCTTGCGGGCGGTGATACTGGCCACGATGATGCTCTCGGGTCGCGGCGTGGCCACGGCTTTGAAGGTGCCTCTCCAGAACTTCTCGAAGAGCTGCTTCTCGCCCTGCTGCACGCCAGCCATGGCCCCGGGGATGGCCGCGGCCGGCCCCGCCGCTGTCCGCGGTGCTGAGCGCTACATCCCCCGCTCCGCCCGGCCCAGCCCGGCCCAGCCCGGCCCGCTGCGGGGAGTGCGGCCCCGGCCGCCCCCGCCTCCCGTTTTGTGCCGCCGGGGCGGGCAGAGGGGCCGGGCCCGCCGCCGTCCCCTCCCCGGGACCGCCCCCGGAGCGGCGGAGCCCGGCCCGGGGAGGCTCCGCTGCCCCGCACGCCGCTCCTGGCGGGGCTTCCACCCCCTGGCAGCCCCCAGGGCCGTCCGTGCGCCATCCCCATCATCTCCTTGCACAGCTCTGCGGGATCGGGGGCACCGCCGCACTCTGCCCTTTGCGGGGCACAGACCCTCCGGGGCACAGCGAGGCCCCCACAGGGGCTGCCAGCAGCCTTCGTGTTTGCCCAGTGCCGACCGCACACAAGTAAAGAAAGGGAGAGCCTGGAGCCACAGCTGAGGGAGAGAGCAGCGGGAGGCCGTAGAGACCACTCTGTACTCGTCCATACCGAGACCCATATGGGACAGAGAATTCGAAATACAACCCCTTTCCCCCACTCTGCACCTCCCTTCCCATTTAACTTTCCCCCACTCCGCACCTCCCTTCCCATTTAACTGGGAAGGGGCCGGGATGGAGCATGCAGTTCCTCGACCCCAGTGCAGTGGCAGGCTGGAATCCCACAGTGGGGTCCCAACCAGCACAGAAAACATTTCCCATTTAACTTCCCATTTAACTGGGAAGGGGCAGGGATGGACCATGCAGTTCCTCGGCCCCAGTGCAGTGGCAGGCTGGAATCCCACAGTGGGGTCCCAACCAGCACAGAAAACATTTCCTCACCTTCCAGGCAGGATTTGACCCGCCAGGACCGGCCGCGTGGGGAGGGAAGAAGAGCTGGGATGGTGAAGTGCAGCACTGCGATTCCCTCAGTCTCTGCGCTGAGTACAACAAAAACGTCTTTAGGATAAAACGCTTCTTCTACCACATGCTTTGAAGCGCAAGTAAAAGCTGGTGACCTTGGATGAATGAGACTGTCTCTATTGTGCCTCAGAAACCGGCACGATACGCTTATGTAAGCGGCGGGGGGATAATGGAGCCGGGAACAATAGGCGGTGGGAGCCGGAGAAGAAGGAAAATCAGGGGGGAACTTAATCGCTTTTTTGCGATAAATACAACAGTGGCAGAAGGCTCGTTCTGGCGGCGTTGTTTGCCAACTCCTCCTTCCCTGCCCCGGCTGTGGCGGCGGTGGCCGGGGTCAGCAGCGGTGTCCCCGCAGCAGCGGTGGCACACGCGGGCCGGCTGGGGATGGATGCTGGGGAAGCAGCGAGAGCGGGCACGGATCCAGCAGGGCTTGTAGAAACGCTGTCAGCTCTGCCAAACAATGCCTGAAAACCCGACAGGGAAGGACAGCGTTCATGCACGGCGCAGAGATGCTGGCTGGGAGGCTGCTCCAGCCCAGGGCACGCTGCACATGCCGCGGGCAGGTGTCAGAGAGGGATCCTCCAGGGACATCACAGGCAGGGAAGGGCAGAAGGAGCAGGAGAAAGGGTTTGAGAGGGCTAGAGCTGCCGTGCTGTGAAAGCCCCAGCAGCCCCAGGACAGTCACCGGTGGCCCAGCTGGGACTCCCCACCCGAGCAAATCCAAGCTTGGTTTTCCTCTGGCCTTTCCAGTCATTTCCACAGAACACAGGCTGTTCGTTAGGAACCTGATTCCCCTTCAGAGCATATTAAACTCAATGAATAGAGATCAGGTGTAAGTACACACACTCCCCAGTGCTGCTCGGTTTTGTTGGTGAGTGACCCAAACGTGGGGTGAGGGTCAGGCAGGAGCCCCACCGGCACTGTCAGCCCCAACCCTCCTCTGGAGCCTCATTAACCACAACTCCTGCAGGGCATCACCATCCCCTGGGCTCTGCAGGATGAACCCAAGCACCCCTAGCTGCAACCACTGGCACTCCAGGGCATTTCACCCCCTTCCACCAGTGATCTCACCAATCACCCTAACGTTAAGTCCCAAATAAAAGGAATAATAAATGTTTGCACTATTAAATTAGCAGCACGGGTGGTGTGTGGGCAGGAGGAAGGCTGTGATCATTACAAGAGCCTCTCTCCTGGCACACCTTGTGGAGACATCAGTGAGCCAATTAAGCAATTGGCTCGGTTAACGGAGGCTCCCAGGAATAGACTTCCCCGCTATAGAATAAGTGCGCAGTAATAAATTGTCTCATAAATAAACAGCCTGAGAAAGCATTACATGATATCCAGAAAAAGCACTATATCACAAGCAGAAAGGATGCTGTGCACTTCTGGTGTGTCTATTTGGCATTGCCAACACTCCCCTGAACTGGGGCTGGTGTCCCTATGGGGGCTGTGGGACGGGTCCCATGGGGGTGGACGTGGCCACAGCATCCCTGGAGCCCCGCAGGTGCTGCCTGCCCTGTGGCACCATTGTTTGCCAGCAGCACAGAGCCCTCAGGTAGTCACCCATGGGAGAGCCATAAATGCCAGCCCGGGTTATTTACAGCTGCAGCAGTAACGTGGTGCTCTGCCAGGTTCAAATGTTTGCTATAAACTGTAGCAGAGCAAGAGAGTCCTGTGATGGGAACAGGGAAACTGAGACTTAAAGGATAATTGTACTTTTCCTCTTAGTCAGAACCTAGTAATAAAAGAAAATATAATAATATAAAATATAAATAATACAAAATATAAAAGCTATCTTATTTGAAGAGCTCCTCTTTCATTATTTGGGGGGGGTTTTGAGTGACATATTTTGGGGGTTTTTGAGGGTGTGCATGGGGGGCTGCAGACCAGGATCTTCCCAGGCTGCTGGCCACACTTGGCTCTGCTGCCCTACAACCCCCTGTACCCCACAATTAAACACCCAGAACCTTCTTTACCTCCCAAACCTCTTCTCAGCATCCAAACCCCCTGGGAAATGTGAGACGGACCCACCTGGCTCAGGGCCAGTGGAACTCTAGCCATGCCTTCTACTGCTTTTCCCTCTTCCTTATTTAAAAGGCCCCATGCCCTCATCCTCTCTCACACACAGGCTTTGATTTTGAGGGTGTGGAGAGATGAGAGGGGTCCCTGCTCTGGTGAACACCCACTGTTGGGCTGCTGCTGAGGAAGACAAGCCCAAGGGAAGCAGGGATCAGCAGCAAGAAGCTGTGTGTGTGCAGGAGGTACCCCAAGGGAGGGAAAGGAGAAAATGTGTTTAGCTAGGATTAAGTTTTAATCTGTTCCCCTTAGTAGGGAGAAGAAAGCTGGGCTTGTCCTGGAGCTGCACAAATATTTTTTCTATAAATATTTGGTGTTATTTTTTTGTTGTTGTTGGGTTTTTTGTTTTTTTGTTTTTTTTTTTTCTTATTTGGCTTGTACCCATTGTGAAGAGCCAGAACCTGGATTTGCTCAATCCACCCCATTCCCACCTCCACGTGCCATTGGATTGGTACCACTCCACCAATTCCCCAGCCAAACAGGTTTACTGAGAGGGCAGAAAGTCAGTAATTATCTCTGGAAGCAGTCATTATGTCAAGAGTCAATAAACAAAGGCTGTGAGTGCCCTCTGCTCGTGGCACTCCAGGAGCACCTACCAATTATTCCTTGGCTCTGCCCTGCCTGGCAGGAGGGGGATCTTGCAAGACACAGCCTGCTTTGGGCAGGCAGGAGGAGGAGGAGGAGCAGGAGGAGGAGGAGGAGGAGGAGGAGGAGGAGGAGGAGGAGGAGGAGGAGGAAGCAACAGCCACAGGACAATGTGTACTGTGTGCCAAGCTGGGAAAAACCCTCAGATGGTGTTGGGACGCTGCTGCTGGAGCACCTTTAGCCTGGTAAACACATTTGGCAGAATCAAACTGTTGCAAGAGGGAATTCACCACCTTTCTAGGGGAAAATACTTGTTTTATGGCCTTTTTCTCTGCAAGGCTCCTGGCTGACCCCTCAGCCCTGGGCAGAGCCCATCACCCAAGTGTCCCACCCTGCCTATCCCCAAATCCAGCTGCATCCAAGGTCGAGGAACTCGCCAAAGATATATTTTCTTTTTTTTTTTTTTTTTTGTCCTTCCTTTCTCCACCCACAGAAAAGCTATTTCCACCCACAGGAAACCCAGGAGTGCCCACGGCCCTGGGGCATCTGCAAGGCTGTGCTGGCCCCTTGGGCACAGGGTGGTGGCAGCAACCACCCTGTCCCCTCCCTCCATCACCCTGCCCAAGCTTCTCCAGGCAGTAAATAAGGGCAGGGGGAAGAGGAGCTGCAGCTTTTCCTGCAGAGGGCTGAGGCTGTGGGTACTGGGGGCATCCATCAGTGCCCATCTTGGGAGCTTTGGGATGCTGGACCTGGTGTGAGGGGGCTGCTGGGGCTGATACTGGGGAGAGGACCTGTGCTCCCCTTGTTTGGGTTGATAAAGGATGGGGATGCCCACGTCCCCTCCATCAGCACTGGCTGCACTGTGCCTGTGCAGGAAAGAGGGAAACCGGGGGGGTTTGAGTGTGAAAAACCACGATGGGAGTGGAACTAGCACGGGGTGGGACACCTCCAGCCAGCCCCTGGATCTCAGGATGCCTCTCCATCATCTCCAGATGGACACTGGATGCTTCTCCATCACCTCCAGGTGGACACTGGATGCTTCTCCATCATCTCCAGGTGGACATCAGGGACCTGCCCAGCCTGTGTCCCCCTCCCCAGGACCAGCTGTGTCCCACCCCGGCTTTCTGTGCTGGCTTCTGTGGAAGCAGCCAGCTTCTCTGTGGGCAGGAGGGGGCTCTGCAGCTCGTCTGCTCCAACAAAAGCCTTTTTCCCTCCCTGCTTACCCAGCAAACCGCCTGGCCTGGATATTTAGGCAGCAGAAGGGCAAAAGGCGCAGGACAGACGCTGTGTGTGCTCCCAGGCAAAGCCACTCGCAGCCGCCGGGAAGAGCGGAACGAGAGGAGCAGAAGAGGCAGGGAAGCCAGGCCACGTCCTTTCCTTCCCTTTGGCTCTAAAAAAGCTCCAGACTGGAAAGGGGATGGAGGGTTGGAGCCAAAAATATGATTTTTCCCCTCTGAGTGGCAGTGGCGTGGAGGCGAGCCAGCCCCAGGGCTGCCAAGTGCCACCG